CACATAAGCACATAACTTAACAAAGGTGAGTTGACTAATCTACCCTTATTCGGCTAACTCTAACACTATTTAAAGAAATTTTTTATCTTATTTCCATCATATTTTGGTAAGGAGACTTCTCTTTCTCTCTCAGTCGAATTTCACACCACAAATCCATATTTCTTTTTAAGACACCTTTCATTTTCTTGCATTTCCTTAAGGTGTATATCATATTCACTGGACTCTGCTCTTGATCGAGTTCTGCCTTTGTTTTCCAGACACATCCATCACAGACTTGCTTCATGTCATCAGTTGATCTTCACACTCATTACTCATATCAGGTAATAATGGAACTCTATAAGCATTTCTTATGTGATTTAACTATTGATTTTCAATTTTCTGTTCTTCCCTTTGGGAAACCTAAACTAGTTGGTCTTGTTGCTCTCTGATTAAACTGAACTTTGTTTCTTAACAAATTTCACCCCCGGGGGGAGGGCTAACATAACATCCCTAATTATAAGTCAATATTAATGCATATTTTAAAATACAAAACCAATACTTACAGTAGCTACTGTAAGTGGCTACTGTGAAATCTAGCTATTGTCTGGTAGCAGATTTGCCTTTTGACCTAAATTTCCCCATTTTACAGGAAGTGGTATTCTATGAGGATGGTGAACCTATAATACATGGAGAAGCTGGAGATCTGAAGGTTTGAATCTTCCCTCCTTTGTGTTTGTAACATGTGGAAATAGACTATATACTTATAGTAGCTACTGTCTTTTGAGCAGTTTCGCATTCGGACTGTACCTTCTACTTGTGCTTCGCATTGAGAATGAACATGATTTCATGGTGAAGTTGCTGTAAATGTTTCCTACTAATGACCCAAGACAAATTTAGGCCCTGTTTGAGAACACTTAAAAGAAGTACTTCTTTTAAGACATGGGACCACACATTAAGTGGTTTTTAAGTATTATGGGTGTTTGGTAAAAAAGTGGTGAAGTACTTTTTTTTAAAGTACTTCTTTAAAAAAGTAACTTCAAGGTGGCTTTTTTTTAAGTACTTCTTGAAGAAATACTTATTCAAAAAAATAGGATGAACCAGTCCCTAACAAAATTTTATAATGACAAAAATATCCCCACGCGGTTATACCTCTCCCTTCCCCCCTCATTCGACCCTCAAACCCTAGCAGCAGTGGTGCACCAGTTGAAGGTCCACCGGCAAAGAACGGCGGTGAGGAACCGTGGCCGACGGACCTGCCGTTTGGCCTCTTTCCTCTATGTTTTGAAGTTTTTTTCTCATTTAATCGATTTTTTTTTGTTTTTTTCTAACATGAACTCTATTCTTTGTAGATCTACTATTGTGTAATCTACTGTTCGAATGGCAACCGGCGATAAGAGGTTAGTTCTCTACAGAGATCGATCTCTGTATTTTCATGGTTGTTTTTTTTTTTTTTTTTCATTCGTTCTACTATTGTGTAATCTATCTGATGAGTGGTGTTGAAGTTGGTTGCGTGAAACAGAGCTCTGAAATCCGAAATAGAGCTTGATCTCAGATCTCTGAAACAGAAATCCAAATAGGTGTTTATTTTTTGATGAATCCGAATGGTTGAATTTAGCTATTTTTCTTGTATGATAACATTATTGGCTGCTGTTCAGGGAAGAAAAAAGAGGATATGCAGTTACTTCTAGCTGAAGAATTTTTCAATTAGTTTGCTCTAAATTGCTTTTCCCTGCAAATGCCTCCTTTGCTTGTGGATGCTTACATTTGTTAGGGTGAACCAGCAAAGATAACTACAGAAATTGAATGACTGACTTATGAAACAAAAATTCAGACCCCTTTCCTTTACAATACTCAGGGTTTAGAAATCACTCAAATATGCAACTTATTAGAGATAAACTTGCTATTTGCTGATATGAACTCTTCAGAACTAGAAATTTCTATGCCAAGGCTGGGCTGAAATGAACTAGTAATTTTCTTGACAGAGAACTCTTCAGAACTTGTCCATTGCTAGCACCTTGTGAAAAGAAAAAACCAGCTTTTCTTTTCCTTTTGTCATGGATGCTGTAGGTCTGCATTTCTTTTCCTTTGAGAGCTCTATGAGGATGCTATGGCGTATGCAGCAATGGTGTCAAGTCTTTGTTATGATACATGTTTCTTATAAATTATAATACCTGCTTCAGCTAGCCCTCACTAGGGATGTCATTCTCTCTTATATGGCTTAATTTAACATAAACTAAAAGATTCAATACAGGACATGGACGGATCAAGAGTTGGGTGTGTTTGTGTGTTTGTTAGAGAGAAAGAGAGAGAGGTGTCTCTCTCTAACTTGCAAGGTGTCTCCAAATTAACAAGATATAGCCACATAATTAAATGGGTTCTTCCATGGAGATCAATGAGGTAAAAAATCAGCTTAAAATATGATAAAAAACTGTTTGTTTCTACTGTATGTGTATAAAATTCATCTTGATAGTGATATGACAGACACATGGAGCCTTTTTGGGATTCCATTAAAAATCCCACATGGAAGAATTTTGGGTTGTCGACATCTGACTCATCTAGCAAATCCAACCCACACCCATTGCAAAAAGGATTTGGACAATACACACCAAGTTTTGTCATAGCTTCTTCTGTATCAAAGGAAACATCCAAAATGAGATTATTTAAAAGAATACATAACAGGATTTAGATAATTCTGTTATAGAATACTTACAAAGTAGTTCTTTGGGTGGATCTGGTACAGGAACAAAGTGAGTTATAAGTATCTTAAGATCAATTGACCCTTGTTCAGTTCAGTGACACTAATAGGTGTTTCTTCAACTGAGTTGCATTCAAATAAAGAATCTTAGGTAATACACAGGATAAATACTCTAGGCCAAAACACAAGAGGCTGATACAAATAAGCCTAAATACATGTGGCAAACCATTTGTTTTTATGCTCTTTGTTTTTCCTCATTAAGACCAAATCAACCAAGCATCTTTTCTTCATTCTTGGTAATCTAATTTCTGAGGGATTTGAACATAAACCATCCGAGCAGTAGTATCTCATGAACAAATACAATTGGGATTTGGGAGTCAGCTTTCAGCATTCACAGCCAGTGACCTGGTTGGTTGTTGTAGCTCAGTTTCCCGTGTAATCATCTCACTGTGGTTTGATTGGATGTTTTGTATGGGCCCACTTATTGAATGATCTTGATTTACCAATCGATTGTTATATTGTTTAATTCTTTGCATTTTATTTAGGGTTTGAATGTTTTAGTATTAGATATGATGGCTTTAGGTTTTGTTCAAACTTTCTTAATGGAGTTCTTCTCTTTAATAGCCTTGGGTTGGCTGGCATTAAGGAACCACAGGCCCACACACACCCGTAGAATCCTAAGCCCATTCCAATCTAGAAACCCACCTTAGGCCCAAGCTCATCTCAAACAGATTCCATGCTCAGCCCAACTCGGCCAAGGCCATATAGGCCGGCTGTAACCTTAGATTCAAACCATTCCAACCCACATCCAAAATCTGCCAAGGCCAAGGAAGTCGTCCAAACCCATTTTAGCCTATGGCCCAACCAAGGCCAATGTCAAATAGGCCTAGGCCAATATCAACTCCAACCTAGAAGCCCACCTTAGGCCCAACCTCATCTCAAACCCAAGTCCAATTCTACCTTGGCCATAAAGGCCAAGCAAATGCTAGTCCAAGCCTATTGCATGCTCAAGCCTGAATTCAAAATTTGATTTGAATAAGAATAAACAAATTCACATATTTGTCAATACTAACATAATTCATATACTTGGATTCAGGTATATTATTCTTGTGGCCATTTTTTCTTCTATTTTATTGTCAATATTAACATAATTAGTAGGTTATGACTAGTAGTCAAGGGAGAAATGGGGGGGGGGGAGTTCTCAGGCTACGTGGACTCCTGAATTGCATAAAACTTGGGTGGATGTATGCTTGCAACAAGTCATTGCCGGCCATCAAACCAATACCACATTGGATAGACAAGGATGGGCAAATGTGATTCAGGATTTTAATAGGATAACGGGGAAAAACTACACCCCAAAACAAATGAAGAATCACTGGGATGTAATAAAGAATGAGTGGAAGATATTTCATAAACTGTCAACATTTACCTGATCGGGTTGGGATCCAGTGAATGAAACATTCATTGCTAGAGATGACTTTTGGATTGACTATCTGAAGGAATGGTGTAATTTAGCATTTTTAACATAATAAACATGTAGGTTAATCATTTTGTTATGTAGAACCTTGCATAGTTCTGTACTTGTGTGATAGACATTCCCTGATGCGGCTCAATTTAGATACAAGGGTCTTTCCCATGCGGCAGATTTGGACATCATATTTGGTGGCATAGTTGCCCACCGCTACGATAGTTGGGCACCAAATGAGGGTACACTACCAGAGGTGGTGCCCTTAACCCAACTAGATGGAGGATCAATTACAACATGAACCAGAGACACCCATGTCTGCATCTGAAACAATGTAGGATGCTGGAAGGGTCCCAACAAGCACTCACTCATATAGAGCTGTTAGCAGAGATGTAAGGGAGAGTAGCAACTCTACCAGGAAAAAGCAGACATCGGTTGCTATGTAGATTAGTAAGTGTATAGATAGAATTGCATCTGCATTTGAGCTATCAACTACCCATAAAATTGGCTAGGACAAGAGACTAAGTTCTATGGAACAATGCTTTAACCTCCTAAAAGAGATCCCTGAGATTGAGGAGGGGAGTCCTTTATTCATGTTTGCTAGTCTCCAGTTCATGAAGGGTGAATTCCGTGACTTGTTTATTGCAATCGGGTTTCCTGCCTTACGATTGAAGATGGTTCAAGAATTGTATGAGCGTTCCAATAGTGTGTGAAACTTGTTTGCATCAATTTGTGTTTAAGTTTATGTTTGTCACATAGACTGGAGAACTTGAGTACTCTTCATTTAGTATTTCGTAGGATTATTATCGTTGGACTTGATTTATATTTTAATGTTAATTAAATGTGTTTTTTATATTTTCTGCATTTATGTCTTCATTCATTGATTATTAATTTTGTTTGTCTTTACAATGGGGTGATGGATACTGATGATGAGCTTGAGTGCATTGTGAATGTTGTCTCTATGTTGAGTGAGTTTTTTTATGATACTTGGGTTCACAAAGAACCCAAACACACCATGGACTGTACAGGAGTAGTGTAAACAAGGTCTTTCCTTGAAGGGCACGATGACCGATTGTAGGAACTTTGTCAAATGGACAAATATGTATTTATACGATTGTGCAATACTCTGAAAGAGCCGACCTCATTGTAAACAGTCGAGATATTTCAGTGGAGGAACAACTAGCTATTTTCCTTCATATTGTTGGACATAATGAGAGGAGTTGGATGATGCAAGAGCGGTTCCAACATTCTGGCGAGACAATTAGTCGCTTTTTCAATTACATGCTGATGGCAATAGTCAAGCTCTCATTGTCAATAATATGCCCTCCCAACTTTGACATTGTTCCTCCATACATCCGCTAGAATCCAAAATATTGGCCATATTTCAAGGTAGCATTCTTACACTATGAGTCCTTTTTAAAACTACATAAATAATTGATACTGAAAGCTACTGTTTTGTTTTTTTGGCAGAATTGCATAGGAGCTATTGATGGGACACACATATCAGCATGAGTCCCTACTGACAAGCAAACATCGTACCAGCATAAAAAAGGGCTTTGCACACAAAATGTAATTGCTGCATGTGATTTCAACATGCGGTTTACATTTGTTCTTACTGGATGGGAGGGAACCGCACATGACTATTGCATATTTGCTGAAGTTGTGCGTAATCCAAAATATAATTTCCCGCATCCACCACGAGGTATGCCTGCATACATTGCAACTTGTTCTGTATTATATGAAGTGTAAAAATATATTCATATTCTCTTTATTATTCTTAGGTAAGTATTATGTTGTTGATTTTGTGTACCCCAACACTGCTGGCTACATGGCACCGTACCGTAATACACGGTACTACTTGTCTGATTTTCAAAGGGGAGGACAACCTACAACAAAAGAAGAGTACTTCAATAATGCCCATGCTTCTTTGAGTAGTGTCATCGAGCGAAGTTTTGGTGTGTTAAAGGCTCGATTCCCTATTTTGAAGTGTATGCCATGCTATCCATTAAAGACACAACAGTTGATAGTTGTGGCTTGCATGGCAATACACAACTTCATTCGGGACAACCAGGATAGAGACACCCTATTTAATGAGTTTGAGAATGATGAAGAGATTGAAATTCAACATCCGTCTGAAACAAATGGTGAAGGTTTCGATGAGGTTGCTATTGACAATGTGGTTCAACAACAAGAAATGTTGTTGTTTAGGCAACAACTTGCAGATGCAATATATGCTGACCAAACTCGGCCACCATTGAGGAAGCATAGGTCAACATAACCAATGTTGGTGGTTTTGGTGTTTGTTTTTCTCTGGATTTGATAAACATAATGCATCAAATGTGGATATATTTGACTTTATTGTATATTGGAACTTTATGTTTTTGATACTTTATGTTAATCTAGTAGTTGATAGTATATATTCTCTCAATGGCTGGTAAGAAATACTATGTAGTATTCATTAGTCGTCGCCCAGGTATATACGATACTTGGGCCGAATGCAACTTGCAGGTCCATCGGGTATAGTGGTGTAGTCTTTTGCTCATATAAAACATACGAAGAAGCAGATTGTCAATTCCGTCATTTTATAACTTTACATGATTCTTCAACTACTAGGCCGTCTAGTCGGAATGATGCATCTAAGTTAACCCATGTGTACTGGGCATCTACATGTGTTTTATTAGTTGGAGTTATTACATTGGGCATGTTGTACATGTCCAAATGATATGTAATTTTACAAATGTCTGCACTTTTATGTTACTTTAGGGCACATTAAACAAATATGGAAAGGGAATTTGTTTGTGGAAATTGAGCTTTAATTACATCTTCTATAAGTATTTTGTGAAAAATTACGCCTTAAAAGCACTTTTCAGAAATATTTTGTGAAAACTGTATCTTGAAAGTGCTTCTAGAAGTATTTTGTGAAAATTGCACATTAAAAGTACTTTCTGGAAGTATTGTGTAAATTGCGCCTTAAAAGTACTTTTTGGAAGTATTTTGTGTAAGTTGCACCTTAAAAGTACTTTCTGGAAGTATTTTGTGAAAATTGTGCTTTAAAAGTACTTTTTAGAAGTATTTTGTGAAAACTGTGCCTTAAAAATACTTTCTGAAAGTATTTTGTAAAAACTGCGCCTTAAAAGTACTTTCTGAAAGTATTTTGTGTAAAGATGCCTTAAAATTGCTTTATGGAAATATTTTGTGCAAACTGCGCCTTAAAAGTATTTTCTAGAAGTATTTTGTAAAAGTTGTACCTTAAAAGTACTTTTTAGAAGTATTTTGTGAAATTGCACCTTAAAAGTACTTTTTAGAAGTATTTTGTGTAAACTGTGCCTTGAAAGTACTTTCTGGTAGTAATTTATTAATACTAGTTATTATTATTATTATTATTATTATTATTATTATTAATTTGATCCCCATGGCAGCCCACGTGGAGGTCCACGTGGGCTCTTAGTTGAAATTTATAATAAAACATGTGAAAAGCATTGTATATATGTTTGAATGAAGTGATGGTTAAAATTGTTATTTGTGTAAATATAAGCACTTATGGGGAAATTAGCTTACCAAACATTCCCACCCCAATAAGCATTTAGTCCCTTACCCTCCCTCGTTGATATTATTTTTGTTAGTTGGTTCTTTTGTTATTGGAGCTCCACGGGCTTTTATGACATCTATCTAGGTTAATGATCAGAAGTGAAATATATTCCTTTCTATACAAGGTAAACTTGACTTGGTTAATGACATCAGAAAGCTTTCTGGTTATTAGATCTAATCTTTAAGGGTTTTAGTGAGTCTAATGCATGATTGATGACCATGGACGTATGGGGCAGGGCAAATGACTTGAATGGTTTCAAAATTGATGAATCAATGGTTTCTAAACCACACTAAGATGTCCTTTTCAAAACTATATTTCCTTTGATGGACTTTATTAAAACTGTTGTTGGAAACACTCAGGGGGCATTTCTTCATTGAATCTTCTAGTATCTTTGCAATAGTCATATATCATGTAGTTATCTCTAACCCTCTCCATGTGTCCTAACTGGGTATAAGTCAACTTGTTATAAGAAGCTCTTGCCCTAGACTTTTTTTTTAATTTTATATTTTATTAAAAATATTTTGTTCATAATAATTTTCATTGGAAAAGTTGATTTTATTTTTGTAGCTTGTAGTTTGATGTTCAGACATGGAGTGTTTTATAATACATATTCCAGCTGTATTAAAATATCTAATTTTCTTTTACTGCATTGTTTGTCAATAACATTATTTTTGGGTGATGCTTTCTTGGAATGACAAGTTATTTGGTTTTCCTTTTATTGCAGCTAGATAAAGTCATTGTGCAACCACCTAAAGACGTATCTAAAGTTGTAATTGAACCTAGAGGTGTAAATCAGGTTGTGTCGCTGCAACCTAGTATGATGGATTGTGGGTCGTGTTAGGCATGGCACGATCATATGGGTCGTGCTAGGCCTAGAGTTTTAGGTCCATGGTCTGGTACAACACGGCACAATCTAGCGGGCCATATATATATTTATATATTTTATACATATAATATGTAATATGTATATATATATATTATATTATGTATAATAATTATATAGTATATTAATATATAAATTTATTTTAAATTTTATTATATTATTTAATTTTATTATTGCATATATAAACAATCGTATAAATCAAAATTCATATAAAATAAAATTTTAAGATCTTTTTTAATTTTCTCTATTTTTTTAAATTCAGGAAGTTTCAATAGGGTCCTATACATTATTGACTTCATCAAAATCCAATACCAACTTGATTTGCAGCCCCATTTAAACTCTAGTAAGTTCATATTTAGTCTCTACCTTGACTACCACTTACAACTATTTATGATGTAGTAACTATTATTAAAGGTGGATGCAGATCTTCATAGAGGTAATTTGCACATGGACAAGATGTCAGCTGCAAATACAATTGAAACCTTAATAATCACATTAGGTCATTGTGAACGTCAGGAAAATGCTCCAGCTGTCCACTTCACGGCTGAATGGTAAGAGTCGCCACCCATCGGAAATCCATAATGGGGAGTGATGGGCCTCCCGGATTTAAATTATCCAAATCATTTAGAACTAACAATGACTCCATATCAATCGACCACTGGGTAAGTTGAGAGAGAGAGAGGGAAGGGGTTAGACACCCCTCTCTGGTTAGTGTGAACACCACAATCCCCAATTGCACAGAAACTAGATTAGAGACTCGGATCCTCTAATAGCTCGAAAGAGTGCTCCCTTGCATTCTCAGACCAATCCCCTTTTGGATGTAGGGCCCTGAGCAAATTGAACCACAGAGAACTTACAAGCCTCAAAGTTCAAATTCGAACCCAAGAACCAAAACAACTACAGATAACAATAGAGAGATGAGATAAAAAATAAATAGACAACGTAGGACTAGAACTACAATTGAAACTTTGAATGTGGGTATGAGGTAATCAGACTTTACCTCTTGTGTCCTAAAATGAAAAATGATGCTGCAAGAGAATGTGGAAAGCTCGGCCTCTTGACGAGCTCTTTTCAACGACGAAATGTCAATTTGGGTTCTACTCGAAGAAACCCTTCTCTTCAAATTTGGCGAGGGCTGAGATAGAGCTTTCGATTGTGATTTTCTTCTCTCAAAGCTCTTTCTCACCACTCTCTCAAAGCCCTCTGTCCTCTCTCAAGACCTTCGCTCAACCATGCCTCTCTCCTCCAACCCTCTCTAGTTTTCTTCTCTCCCTCTCTCTCTCTTTCTCTTGGACCCTCTTTTGGTAGCGCTTCCTTCTGAACTTTCCATTCGACAACCTTTTTAGGCTTTCCAAAAGAAAATTGATGAAAGAGTGAGACCCCTCCTCCCAACTTCCCTCTTTCAACCCCCTTCTATTGGGAATGGTGCTTCCTCTTTATAATGGAAAGGAAGGGGGATTTAAAAAAAATCTAAAAGAAAGGGGTTTTTGGTAGGTAAGCTTGGGTTTGGGGGGGACATCTTGCCAGGTTGGGTCTTCAAGAGTAAAAAATGGTAATTTGGGGTGAGGAGGAAAATTTGGTTATTTATGGTCTTGGGGGCAATTCAGTAATTGGTCCAAGGGGGTATTTTGGTAATTTGGTGCGAGGGATAATTTGGTAATTTGGTCAGGGGTATTTTTGGGAATTTGGGCAAAGGGTATTTTAGGAATTTGGAAGAAGGGGTATTTTGGTAATTTTGGCTTTGAAGGGTATTTAGGTAATGGTTAAGAGTGTTTTGGGGAATTTGGAAAAAGGGGTATAATGGTAATTTGGTCAAGGGGGGAATTTGAGTAATTTTGTGTGGGGTAATTTGGGAATTTGGTCAAGGGTATTTTGGTAATTGGTCTGAGGGGTATTTGGGGAATTTGGTGTGAGGGGTAATTTTATTAGGGGTATTTTGGTAATTGGTCCAAGGGGGTATTTTTGGGAATTTGGGCAAAGGGTATTTTGATAATTTGGAAAAGGGGTATTTTGGTAATTTTGGCTTTGAAGGGTATTTTGGTAATTTGGTTAAGAGCATTTTGGGAATTTGAAAAAAGGGGTACATTGGTAATTTGGTTAGGGGTATTTGAGTAATTTGGTGGAAAGGGGTAGTTTGGGAATTTGGTAACTCGACAATGAGGGAAGGGTGATTTTGGGGTCTAAGGGTAATGTCTATTTGGGGTTGATCGGAGCCATCGAATTGGTATCGGGTAGATTTAACGATGAATCTGAGGGCTCTTGGGGTGAAATTCGGATCTCTTAGGTTTTTGGGTGTTTCGGAGAGGTCGAATGGGTCTGATCGGGTGTTTGAGGTGAATTGAAAGTCCCAGCAACTGACCAAGCAAAAATCTAGTGCTGATAGTCATCATATAGTTGACATTTCAAACTGTTAAGCACGTAAACTTAACATAATATGATCATCCTATAATAATTCCATGAGCATCTTGAAATCTAGTTCTAAAAAAATCAGCAAACCATTTCCTAATTTCGGTGTTGTTTGACATATCTCATGGGTGATTGATCCCATGTTCATGGTGCTTCTAGGTGACTTTTCCAAAGTAACCCTATGAACTAAACTCTCAAAATGATCCAAAGTCCACCATTAATAATTCCTTGGATGTAATATTTTGTGGTAGTGAAAGAACCATATTACTTCCCCCACCCCCATAAGAGAAAGGGCTTCCTATCAGCAAATTTGCACTCAACAAATTTAAGACCAGCCTTTACATGGGGACCAAACTAGTTCTGAGAGGGGGTCAACAGTGACAAGTTTCATCTCTGCCCATTGAAATTGCATTTGCACCTGCACCAGAATCATTATTCAACCCTCTTTGAGTGCATTCATTGGAAGAATCCAAAACAAATCCATCTTTCCTTGGCTATCCATTATTGGTCTCAATGTTTATCTTTGGTAATGTAATTCCTGAGGCCTCAA